ATCTTCCTGAAGAAGCTTATCCATATGGGACTCCACCGTAAATATGTTTATCTATTATTTAGTACTCTATTGGAAATAAGCTTCCTGAAGAAGCTTATCACTTCGGTACCCGGTTATGGATAAACATTACCCTAGGTAGAAGATTATCCATACCAGGTATAATAAGCTTATCCATTCAGTAATCCGTTATGGATAAACATTGCTCTCAGTAGAAGAATATCCATATCTGGTATAGTAGCAGCTTACACAGCAGCTTGCAGTAGCAGCTTACACATCAGCTTGTAATAGCAGCTTACACAACAGCTTGTAGTAGCAGCTTACACTGCAGCTTACACAGCAGCTTGTAATAGCAGCTTACACAATAGCTTATAGTAGCAGCTTGCGTAGCAACTTACACAACAACTTCCTTTCTTCTATAAATAGAAGAGATTTCAATTCATTATGTACATCAGTTTGAATTCGAATAATATATCAGTTTCTCTCTATACTTATCTTTACTTTATAGTCTTTATTTTATAACAAAAATAAATTTAATTTCACGAAACGACTAATATTTAAAATTGAACAGAGTACCTTTATTCTATTAGTGTTACCTGAATATATTTTTCTGATTGACTTTACTTTATAAGTGTTTAAAAAGAAAGTGAACGATAAAATTTGTAGGAAGTATAGAGGTGACTAATTACCTTTTTTATTTATATTTATGTGATGTTACCACAGTATCCTTCTCCTAAATGATATTCCCTACTGTTACTTTTACTTTCCATTATATTAAAAATATATTTTTACTTTTACTTCTCCATTTTAGCTAATCAAGAAAACGATAAAAAAATTATTTTCTTTTATCATTAATTATTTATTTTCAAAATTTAAAATGCTATTATTATTATTATAGATATTATGATAAAATATGTACTTTATTTCTTATTTTTTAATAAAAATACAAAGTTTATTGCAGACAAATAAAAGTAAATAAAAAGGAGAGAAGTTCGATAGGCAAGTCTCTGAAAAATGCTAACATGAGATAACAATCTCAGATTCTCAATGACTACAAAGACAAAATCTTGAGATAAGTGTGAAAGAATTAAATTAGTAAATAAAAAGAGAAGAAAAGAAAAGGAAAAAAGGGAAATGAAGAATAATGGAAGAAAAAGAAATCACAAAGTCAAAACAATCATAAAGATATACACATCTCAAAGTGATCCAAAAGCCTTGGTTGTTGGGAACTTTCAATGTTGCATTTAGAGCACACCGTTGCAGATGAGTCCTTCTAAGCAAATTAATATACTTGAGAACCCTATGCTAATATTGATTCCTTTCACTATGTCAAAAAAAAGAAAAAGAAATTCACCATTATTACTTACTTTATTTACTATTCTTACTTTCTGTTATTTGGTATTATGTATTTCATATCTTTTATATTGTTGTTATTTTATTATGTATTTTTATGGTACTAATATATCGTCTCTTGTTACTTTTTTTGAGCCGAGAGTCTTCTGGAAACAGCCTCTCTACCCTTCGGGGTAAGAGTAAGGTCTACGTACATATTACCCTCCCCAGATCCCACTTGTAAAATTATAGTGGATGTTGTTACTTTCTCTCATTTGGATTTTGGAACCTTTCGTTTAGTCAAACACCCCCTTTTTTTCTCCCCCTCCCCCCAAAAAGCCAAAATATTGAATTGTATATCCCAAAAGACTGCCAAATAAAAAACAGTAATAGTACTATAGAATAGAATAATCTTTTGTTCTTTTTCCGTGCGTTACAGTTCTAAGGGGCCCAAGAAAGGCCTAATCTCCTTTTTCTTTGGTCAACCCTTGAATTAATTGTGTGATGAGAATACACACTTCCTTTATTGTTACTACTATTCTACTGCTATAGTAGTAGTAGCATTTATTAACTCCTCCATAAAGTTCAGACAAAAATAAAAATAAAGGGAAGAAAGAATTATGGTCAATACTTATCAAATTATTACAGACTTTTTCTTTTCTTATAGCCCGTTTGGACATAATTTCTTTTATTTTTAAAAATTTTCATTTTTTAAAATTATTATTTGGCCATAAAATTTTCAATTTCTAATTGAATATGAATTTTAAAATTTTTCGAAAATTTAAAAAACTTCAAAAAATTATTTTTCAAAATTCACTCAGATCATATATAAAATTTTAAAAATAACCCCAAAATTATATTTATGTCCAAACACAACTCTAATTTTCAAATACCATTTTCACTTGAAAAAAAAATTACTTTTTTTTTAACTTTGCAATTCTTATGTCCAAACGCCCACTTACGAAAATTTTCAAACTTACAGCTTCTTTTCTTTTCTAATTTACCCCAAAGAAATACATGCTTTTCAAAAGAAAAAAAGTTATCTACCGACTACCATGTACACGCTTTGCACCTAAGGAAATATTGTTAGTCTAGGGAGTAATTTAATTGTGAGAGATTATATCGTCAAAACTAAATCGTGAAAATAATATCTTGTAAAAATGTAGAGTAAGACTGCATATAATAAATTCTTCCTAGGACCTCGCACATAATGAGAGTTTAGTACACCAAGGTGCTTTTTTATATCGTCAAAATTAGTTCATATAATTGTTGAGGTCTTAAAATTTTTTTGGAAACGATACAGTTAAGTTATTAGATGAACTGGATCTTATCAGTTCGGTCTTGCTAACAAAAAGTAAAATTACGCAGCAAAGAGAACTTTTTGATTTATAATAATTAGTTTAAAATAGGTCAAAATCTTAGAACCTAAGCCAAAACAATTACAGATAAGTGATATACTAATCGGAGTAAGAAATTTCACATCATTTACCAAACCTTTCCTCTTTTTAGGACTACATATTCATAATGAATAATGTCATTGAATATAGATATTTAAGATGATAAACAGATCATCTTCCACTAAAAGTACCCCATGCTTCAATACTTGACATCATCATATCAAACTCCACATAAACACATTAAAAAATTTGTAATTTATACAATCCAGATATTTCACCAAAGGCCATACGATACACATATTTTCTTTACTCTAACAATACTTTATTGCTATATATAAATGCTTCATCATTCACTTAATTTTCCATTCTTAAGTAAATTTTTTCTTCAATCTCCCTCTTTTGAAAAATAACTTTTACTCATGTTTAAGTCCATTAGTTATACTCTTATCGTTCTCTGTTACTTATTCAATATATGAAAAATATTTTTTTTACTTATCAACATTAACAAATTTAAAAAGAATTAATTATTTTTCTTCAATTTTACTCTATTATTTAGTAATAATTTCTCAAACTTATTGGAGTACTAATAAATAAATTTATATTTCCAAAGTATAGTAAATATGGATAATTTAGTAAAATAAAAACTTAATTGGTACTTTCTTAAGGGAGTATAAAATGTAAAGTGAACAGGTAAAAATGGAATACAGAAAGCATTTACTTGTACTTTTATCTTTTTTCAAACTTTTCTTTTTTCATAATTAGAAAAAATTATGGCTCTCAAGTTGTTGTACTTGTCTCTCTTTGAAATTCATAGGATGAATTAGATAAAAGCTACGGTAATTAATATATTTACTACAATTAATCTAAAGAGGTACTCGTATTAAATAAAGAATGAATAAGAAAGAAAGAGAGTAGAAAAACGAATGGACAGAATTCAGGAATCTTGGATAACATTTATAATCCGTCAAAGTTAAAGGTTCCATCATTTTCATGGCGGCTTCATTCAACAAAAGGTAAATATTGAGAAAAAGAAAATGAAAAATTTGACAGAAAGAGAAAAGGGAAAAAAAAAAGGAAAGACATTGTCAACACACAAATCTTATATACTCGGCAAAAAACTAGCCTTCCTATTTCTTTCTCTTCCAGCTTTTTCTTTGCTTTCTTCCTTCTTCTTCTTCAAAACGCGGATTCACTATATAGAATATACCTATATTTCCTCTTTTGCTTCAATTAATTATCCACAGAATTTTTGTACAAATAAATAAATACCCATGTCGTTCTTGGTTTAAATTCATACATTTGTTGATAAAAATTGAATCTTGGAGTTTTTTTTACAGTTTTTTTCCTTACACCCATATGAAATCTCTGTGAAATATTGCACAAATACGATCAAGAAACCATTTCTTCTTAGAAAATAATATAAGGGTTAGAGAATCTTGGAGTTGATTTTCAAGATTTTGGTGTTGTAGAATTGATGGCATCAGCTGCAATTTTCTCATCGTTGAGGAGACAAAGGTCGCCGTCACTGGAAGCGTTCTTGGCGCCGGTGGATCTAACAGAAGTGGGGTTGTTGCAAACTCTAACGGCGTTATCTTCTGAGCTGATTTCTTCATTTTCAGGTAAAAGGGTGCCCTTTTATCAGCAAAAGAATTGTAAATCCTTGCTTAGGAAAATTCAAGCCTTTTCTGTACTTTTAGATTGTCTTGTTGAGAACAGTGACAATAACAGAAGTGGTAGGGGGGGTTCTTCAGATTTGCCGTTTACAGCTTTTTTATGCTTCAAGGAGTTGTATTTATTGCTTTACCGCTCGAAAATCTTGCTTGATTATTGCTCCCAATCCAGTAAGTTATGGCTGTTGCTTCAAAACCATTCGATTTCGGGTCATTTCCATGATTTGAACCAAGAAATCTCGACCCTTTTGGATGTTTTCCCCTTAAAGGAATTGACTTTACCTGAAGATGTTATGGAACAGGTTGAGTTGTTGCAGAAACAAGCAAGAAAATCTATGTTGTTTGTTGATAAACATGATGAGATGTTGAGGTTGAAGCTGTTCTCTTTCTTGAATGAGTTTGAGAATGGAGGTATTCCTGGCTCTGCTCAGTTGTACTCTTTTTTTGTGGACAAATTGGTGATTTGTAATCCCAGGAGTTGTAGGGTTGAGATTGAATTTTTGGAGGAGCAGATTGTGAACCATGAAGGAGATATTGAGCCCACAGCCTCAGTGCTCAATGGGTTTGTGGCGTTGATACGATACTGCAGGTTTTTGCTATTTGGCTTCGAAGAGGATGATGTGGGATTGGGAGTTGGTAAGCATAAGAAGCAGAAGAAAGGGCTGATTAGTCAAGAGATTGCGGACACATTCATTTCTGTACCAAAGGACTTTTGTTGTCCGATATCGTTGGATTTGATGAGGGATCCGGTAATTGTGTCAACAGGGCAGACATATGATAGAGCTTCCATATCGAGGTGGATGGAGGAGGGTCATTGTACTTGCCCAAAGACAGGGCAGTTGCTTGATCATACTCGGCTTGTCCCAAATAGGGCACTTAGGAATTTGATTATGCAGTGGTGTGCTGCTCATAAAATTCCTTATGATAATATGGAGGGTGGGGATCCATGTGTTGAAAGTTTTGGAGCTGCTTCACCTAGCAAGGCCGCAGTAGAAGCTAATAGAGCCACGACAGCTCTTCTCATTAAGCAGCTAGCGAATGGGACACAGATTGCAAAAACTATTGCTGCTCGGGAGATAAGGCTCTTAGCTAAAACTGGTAAGGAAAACCGTGCTTACATAGCTGAGGCTGGGGCGATCCCGCATTTAAAGAATTTGCTTTCATCTCCAGATGCTGTGGCACAAGAAAATTCTGTCACTGCAATGCTGAACTTATCGATTTTTGATAAAAATAAAGGCCGAATTATGGACGAAGTAGGGTGTCTAACGTTGGTAGTAGGAGTTTTGATATTTGGGCACACCACGGAGGCGCGGGAAAATGCTGCAGCAACATTGTTCAGTCTGTCTGCTGTTCATGACTACAAGAAGCAAATAGCAAAAGAAGATGGGGCAGTCGAGGCCTTAGCAGGTCTGCTGCGAGAAGGTTCTCCGAGAGGGAAGAAGGATGCAGTAACTGCTCTCTTTAATTTATCTACCCACACTGAAAATTGTGCAAGGATGATAGAGTCGGGAGCTATTACTGCTCTAGTTGGAGCATTGGGAAGTGAAGGTGTTGCCGAAGAAGCTGCTGGTGCATTAGCGCTGATTGTTAGGCAGCCGATTGGCGCTGCAGCTGTTGGCAATGAGGAAATGGCAGTAGCAGGACTTATTGGGATGATGCGATGCGGGACACCTAGAGGGAAAGAGAATGCAGTTGCTGCGTTGCTTGAATTATGCCGTGGTGGTGGAGCTGCTGCTACAGAGAGGGTCTTGAAGGCTCCAGCATTAGCAAGTTTACTTCAGACATTGCTCTTTACAGGAACGAAGCGCGCAAGGAGAAAAGCAGCATCGCTTGCTAGAGTATTTCAACGGTGTGAGCATGCATCAATGCATTATGGCGGGTTAGGTGTAGGATATGCTTTTGCTGGAAACTCAGCTACAGTTAGGGATTCAACTTTTGCTGGTGATGTCTCAGTTTCCATGTCCATTTCAGTACCAGTGTTATAGGGCGGTATTACCAGTGTTCTTATCGCCATTCATCTTCTGTTTCTTAGTTTTACCTGTAATATCCAAAAATTCTTTCATTGAAAATATAAACGCGACAAAGGAAAGAAAAATCATAGGAATACCATAAAATTCATGTGTTCTTGTAGAATTATGTGTTTCAAGTCTCTTAATTACGCGTATTTGGCTTATCAGAAATGTCAGTGAATACTAATAGGTCTGTTGAATCAATCTTGAGGTAGTGCAAGTTTAGAAATTGCAGTCTTGGCTTTATTTGGTACATTTGTAGAAACAAGGCTAATATCACTATGATGATGTCCTAAAATTCATTATGGAAAACAGAATTCAATTTACTATTTTATTTTTGCTTTTCTTGGGTTGTGGCTGTAGCACTAATTTGTTTGGCCTAGTCCTTTCTTCCTTAGGTTTGTAGAGTTCAACCTTCCTCTTAATTTGACCTTAGCCATATTTACCTTTTCAAACTTTTTTCAGATCATGAACCAAATCAACTTTGTTTGCAAGGTATTAATCTGTTAAGTTGAATGGTCTGCTACTTTGGTAGAACATGATAAAGATGGTTCTCCAACCTGATAAACTGAAACAACCTTTGTAACTGAGTAAGATACTGGGTTTGTTACATTGTAACTTTCAAACGTAGTGATTTTACCAATTCCTAAACTAGGAATTATATGGAAACCTTGCGCTTTAGTCAAAACATGTTTTCATTTGTTGAATGGTAGCAGCATGTGTATATGGTTTGGTGACTAAGCAGATGATAATAGAAAGGTTGGCTATGCAAAGATTGGTTCAACTCTGTAACAGGATGTCTCTGTTGACTTTGAATTTAAAAGAAAGAAAAACGAGTAAACAAGGAACGCCAGGAAAAAAAACTTAAATAAAGAAACAGAAGAGAGGCACCAAGGGTGTCACATCATAGTTAAGAAGGTGAGATAAAAACTATGCTGTGTTCAAAGTTCAAATGCCAGTATAATAAAAAAAATATAAGGTAACTTTTCTCGCCTCTCTAATTTTAGCGTAATGCATGTGCCAGTGAGAGATAATATTTACTCTCGTAGAATAGTTGGTTGACATGAATTGGCCCAAATACCACCCATAATTGAAGGAAAAAAAAAAGATAAAGAGAGAGGCAGAGATAAGTGGTACGGAAAATCAACTATGTGGGGTGTTGGGTACCCTGCAAATGGTGGAAAAACAAAGCAAATTTTCCATCATAGAAATGATGGCTTGGCGCACCAAAATGTTCCTCTAGAGAAAGTTGAGACCAGCCGTTCTTGATTCTTCTTTTGGGTTGTTTTCCAATACTCATGTCTTTATTTATTTATTTATTTATTTATTTTTATTCACAAAGCAACAAACTTAGGTAAGATGATGAATCCATTATCCCACATCAATAATCTCTTAATTCATTTTGATACGTTGACCTATGATTATCTGCCTCTACTTGGACCAAAAAAGCAGCCTCTCCTTTTAAAGAAACAACAAAAGAACTCTTAGTTGATGGTATAGAAATGATGTCTTAGACTTGTAGTGGGGTACGCTTAATTTTCATTATAAACACTTTTCCCATGTGGGGTTTAAGAGGATCTTCTAAGCAGCCAAACAATCGATTCATGTTTGTTCCATATCAAAAAAGTAACCATTAAAATGTTAGAGCAAATGTTACTCCTTTTCTTTTTTAAATCCTAGCTCTTCAAAACACTCTTTTGGAGAACTTTTCTATTTCTAAAAATTACTTTGAAGAAGTGCTTTAACAAAATTCCTTGTGGAAAAACAATGACCCCATAAATGAAAGGAGACAAAAAAAAGAGAAGGAATATTCAACTGTCTAACAGTCTTTCATAGTTCAAAATTTTCAGGTCATAGTCTGCCATCTCTGATAAAGGTTGGCTGTAAATTTTAATACATGTGATACTTAGCGACTTCCCAGTCTCTACAGCTTGTCTGATCTTTTAAGAATTGACACATAATAGCAGGGGCGAAGCCACCTTTTGCTAAGGGTGGCCAGTTTAGTTAAAATACTACGAAAAATTACACACTGTATATAAGTAAAATATTGATTTTAGATCTATAAAATATATATTCTAACACTTTTTGTCGGGAATATTTTGTACTTACTTCAAATCTGAACACCTTTGAAAAACTTTCTGACTGCGCCATGCAGTAATAATAGAGCCATAGTCAAAGATGACAGCTACATTAGTTAACAGGAACAAAACAAATCTATAGTCTATCCCAAATTAAGTATGTACTTGCTTAAGTTAAAAATTCCAGCCTTCATTTTTATCTTCTGCATTCCCACATCTTTTCACTTTTTACTGCTCTGACGTTAAGGTTGTTGGTTAGTTAACGGATCAATAAGTCATTCATGAGAAAATCTATCGCTTCAAATGAGGTAGGTGAATTGACATATCAAGATTTGTACTTCTCTTCCCATGCAAACATGTAGCTATAAGAAAAGTCCAATGTTTCTATTGCAAACATGGAAAAGGACAAAGGGAGGGATTACATTCAACTTAGTTCAAAATTTCAAATGTACTTCTCTTCCCATGCAAAATGAAATTGTCCAGAGAGCATACTAGTCAATCGCCCATTTGGCATTGAAACTGTAGGAAAATAACATTTCCAGTCCTCATCATTACATAATCTCAAACTTTGGCAAGTAAACTCCATGCACAAAACAGATGGGAATAGAATCAATAGATTCACTTCAAGGATGATCAACTCATTGATGTAACTTAGAGATGAACTATTCATCTGTAAGAACTCTTTTCTCTTGAAATATATGTTCTTGGTTAAAGAAACATTTTAGCTTTTTTTTCTAAAAAAAGTCATGGCTTTAGCCTCTCTCAAACATGTCTTGAAGCTTTTGATCATTGTGCTCCTCAAGAACCTTACTTCAGCTCAAATTCCTGATTATCACACGGCGAAAATCCCTACAACCTGGATTAACAATAATGTTTCAGTTGTCAATGTTACAAAGCCCTTGACATACCCTTATTACTCATTCAATCAATCTTCTGGACCTTTCATGCGAATTCTGATGCTCAAGGAGATGGAGAAGGACATGGCTTATGCTTGTGGTTTTGCTTCAAACGGAGAAGATGATTCCTTTGTATTCTCCGTAGGAGTTGTACGTCTTCGTCAGGACTCTGTAGGAATTCGGCGCTGGTCTGACCTTGAACTGGTCTGGTTTGCAAACAGAAACCAACCTGTTCACGAAAATGGAACGCTGCAACTGCTGCAAGATGGAGATTTAGTGTTAAAAGATGTGGATGGAACTCTTGTGTGGTCGACAAGCACAACGAATAAGTTCGTCTCGGGCATTAAGATGATGGAGACTGGAAACCTTGTGCTTCATGACATGTATAATGAGACTGTGTGGCAGTCTTTTGATCATCCAACAGATACACTGCTTCCGGGCCAGAAATTAAGGGCTGGTCAAAGACTTGTTGCTAGAGTTTCTTCATCCAATTGGACTGAAGGTAACTACTTTCTATCTGTAACCAATCAAGGCTTGTTTGCATTTTACATATCTAACAAGCCACAGATGTATTTTAAGTTTTTGGTTACTGGAGAAAGGGATAGCTTTAATGAAAGTTATGTAAAAGCAGTGAATGGTACTCTTGCCTTGTACATATGCTCAACTGAGCCAAATGAGCCAAATGCTGTATTCTCAAGACCTTCTAGGATGAATTTTTTGAGATATGATTATGATGGACATTTACGATCATACGCTGAGGGAAGTGATCAGCAAACCAATTTTTTGGCAGATTTCATCGGTGTTTGTGATTACCCTACAGCGTGTGGTAGTTTGGAGCTTTGCTCAAATGGACTTTGTTCTTGTCCTGGTCCATTCAAACGAAGTAATGATCGACAAAACAATGGATGCGTGGAAGTAAGTCCTGTGGAATGCAATGGACAACGTTCCCACAAAATGATGCGTGTTTCGGATGTCTATTACTTTAACTATGTTGACACTGAAGCAGCAGCTCTGAGAGGAACAGATGTGGAAAGCTGCCAAGAGTTGTGCATGAGGAACTGCTCTTGTAAAGTAGTTCTCTTCCGGTATTTCACCAACATTTCAAGTGGTGACTGCTTTTTACCCTCCCCTGTGCTGACACTTATCAACGATGGAAAGGAAAGAAGTGGCTATGAGTCATCTGCATTCATCAAAATTCCAAATGACACAGAAAATGATACAGACTCTATAGCTGCAAGAAGAATTGGAATTATAGCTGGATCAATTAGTGGAGCATTTCTTCTGATAGCAATATGTGTTAGCATCTTGATTGCTTTCAAGAGAAAGCAAACATTACAAGAAAATAATGATGATTACTCAGACGAGATATCTGGCACTTTGAGATTTTCTTATGAACAACTAAAGGTGGCAACCGGGAATTTCCAGCAAAAGCTCGGTCAGGGAGGCTTTGGCTCAGTTTATGAAGGAGTTCTTCAAGACGGTCAGAAAGTAGCCGTTAAAGTTCTTGATGGTTTTGGCCAAGGGAAAAGGGAATTCTTGGCTGAGGTCCAAACCATAGGAAGCATACATCATGTTAATCTTGTTAGACTAATTGGAGTTTGTGCTGAGAAAGAGCACAAGCTATTAATTTATGATTTCATGAGTAACGGATCATTGGATAAATGGATATTTGGCACAGGCGCTACGCAGTTTACCTTTAATTGGCAAATAAGAAGGAGCATTATCCATGATATAGCGAAAGGATTGGCTTATCTTCATGAAGAATGCAGGCAAAGAATAGTCCACTTAGATGTTAAGCCACAGAACATTCTGTTGGATGACAAGTTTTGTGCAAAGGTATCTGATTTTGGCCTGGCCAAATTGGTGGATAAAGATCAGAGCAGGATAGTGACCAGAATTAGGGGAACTCCCGGATACTTGGCTCCTGAATGGTTTAGCGCATTCATTACAGAAAAAGCAGATGTCTACAGCTTTGGAGTTGTTGCGATGGAGATACTCTGTGGGCGTAAGAATGTGGACTATTCACATTCACTGGAATATCCACATTTGCTTAGCTTGTTTATGGAAAAGGCTGAAAACAATCAGCTGATCGATATGATTGGAAACTACAACGATGATCTGCAATTCAATACATCAGAAATCATCCGTATGATGAAGCTTGCCGTGTGGTGCTTACAGAGTGATTTTACTCTGAGGCCTTCCATGTCCATGGTGGTTAAGGTTATAGAGG